TCTGATATTTGCTGATACCCCATTACCCAATTTGGCCAGTAAAGAGAGAACCAATAGATTATATATAAGCAAAGAAAGATGGGACCCTAAATTAGCACAAAAGAATTTTAAATCGCACAAACATAACAGCTTGATAGCTTGATTGACATAGTGGTGCCATCTTGCAATTTTTTTATTGTATATTTTAAATATAATTGATCATATGTTTTTAACAAAACAAACATGACTTACTATTTAATCATTTCCTTTGTTTCCTTGTATGTGAATGCCTCCATCCATCAAATATTCATTGGTCATGATTATTATGCGATACATTTGATATCATAATTGACATAACAAACAATTGCATAATCCAGGTAGTAATGTTACCAAGGCCATGCATGAATGAAACTCTTAATAATGTGTCAACCCAGATCTCTGGGATTCATGAAATAAATTAATTTTCCTGATTATCAATTACGGTTCCTTATGAATAATAAATCTGATGTTGATCACGGGTGTCAGATTTAATTAAAACTTTCCTGTCACAAACATGCAATAACCATGCTTTCACATGCCCCATAACTGTGGAACCTTCCCCACAGGTGCGCCGCACACATGCTGGAAGGCTTTGGACAAAACTTTCCTAATCTTCCTTTCAGACCAGGCTTGGCTGTCACCATATGGGCATTGATTGCTGATAGCTGGCATTTGTGTGATAATTGCTGCATGTTATTGCCACACTAGCATAAAAGTTGGTGTTAAGACTGGCTTGAAAATTCAGCAACTCAGGAGGTTGCAACCTGGATTGCTTTGGATTTTCCCTGGATTCAGAGTTTTGAGTCCTGGGTTGCTGTAATTTTTATGAAAAGAAAAGTATTAGTATTTAACAATTAATTATTTAAATGTTTATTTTGTTGAAAAAAATATACATTGATAGTGTACATTTTCTGTGCTTAACATCCATGTGACCCTAAGTCTGGACAAAAGATCCCTTTCTATGAGTTTGGCTGGTATATCCCAAAGGCATCCCCTGTCTTGTCAGTGGCATGCCTACTCACCAACAACCCTACCCCCATTTACTAAAATAACAAATTCAGTTGGTCAGACAAAAATTAAAGAAAAACAGAGCATTTAGGAAAATGATTAATTTATAACATACCAAAATCCAAACCATTTTATGACTTTTTCTCATTGGCCATATTGCTGACAAAGATGTATATATCATGTGATAATTTTAACCTACAGGACAGAGGACTGATTGGGCAAAAACCCATCCCAGTCCCCTACCCAAAATCATCAATTGGTTAGCATCAGAAAAACAGAGCATTTATGAAAATGATTATACAAAACAAACACTATTTTACAACTTTCCTCTTAACATCAGAGCCCAAATGCAATTTCAAGGCCACCAACCCTGCTCTGAATTGTAACCTCCTGTGCTTGGAACGAGTTGCAGGTTCTCTTAATATTCATCAGCAGAGTTGCAACTTGGTCACAGAGCCATCCTTGCCCTAGAGGTAGGATCGTTGCAGGTGACTTTTCGACCAACATGGCAGCGGCCATCTCTGGTCTGGGAAGATTAGTGAAAGCGTCATTGACGATTGATGCAGTCTTGGTAAACTCCAGAGCTTTGCGCCCCCCCCTGAAAATTTAATTGCATCATTGTATCATCTGGAGCACCGTGGTCAGATTAGCCTTATGTACACGAGGAACGTGTGTGAATGACTGTAAAGTGTTCAAGGTAGCGTGCGTGCTTCAACACTTGTAAAATTTCCGATAATCAAACGTTGCATATTTGAATTGTTTCTTTTTCAACAGTCAATGCTGCCTTGACATCTTGTAATTATAATAATATAATAATATTATTATTATTACGATTACGCAAAGCAAAATATTATCAATGAAAATCTTGTAATTACCCAGCAAGATCTGCTCCGCGTTTTGATTTCCAATTAAAATATTTTTATAAAATAAAAATACACCACATACATATCAATACAAATAAAAAATAGTACCTCTGGTTAGTTATTAACACGTCTTCTTTAGAAGATTTGCGTTTTACTGTTAAAAAATAAATAAATTGTTTTTCCAAGAAAAAAAAATCCATTCGCGTCTGTCCTACCAAAAAAACAACCAATAGGATAAATAATTAATGTGTACGCGTCGATCGAATAATAATTCTTTTAAAAAAATGCCAGACGATAGAAATCAAAAAAATAAAGAAGAAAAACAGTCAATCGTGAGGAATATTTTGGGTAAGTGTTTTAAGAATGGTGGTTATCGCCCGCCACTTGTCGTCACTCTAGTTATTATTAAAAGAATGGTGGCATCATGATCGTTGCAACTCATCTTCATTCTATATATATATATATATATATGAGCTTAGAGCTATTCAGTTCCTTATTAATAAATTTTTTAAAAAAATTCTTCAGGTGTTCTTTGGAAGATTTGGTAGAACCAAAACATTTAAACAAACTGTTGAACGATTTAGCAAAATTATTAAATGAACCTGATTTTTATGATGTAGAAGTCAAAGTTGGAGAGGACCAGGATGTTAAAACTTTTAAGGTTCATTCCACCATTTTAAAAGCAAGATCTTCATATTTCAAGGTTGCTTTATCAAATAACTGGACAAAACAATCTGATGATGGTATTATTCTATTTGAAAAAAAAAATATCTCACCAAAAATTTTTGAAGTTCTTTTAATGTAAGTTTTTTTTGGGTTTAAATATTTAAATAATTGAATGATTGACAATCTGTCTTATCTTATCTATTTGTGTTTTTTAAAGATATATTTATAATGGAATAATTAGATAGACAATCTAAATGCTGCTCAAATTGTTGAACTTCTTGAAGCATGTGATGAATTAAACATTGATGAATTGATTAATGACTTACAAGACCATTTGATCAAAGAACAAAAAGAATGGGTTCAACAGAATTTAATTTATGCTCATACAATCTCATCACAACATCAATCGTTCAATTTGCTTCAAGATTATTGTAGTGAAATAATTAGTAAAAATCCTGAATTGTTTTTTAAATCCAATGACATCACAATGATTGAAAAGTCTATGCTTATTACTATGTTAGAAAGAGATGACTTAGAATTAAAAGAAATCGATATTTGGGATATTGTCATTCAATGGGGAAAAAATCAAAATGAAAAATTAAATAAAGAAGTTTCAGAATGGATGAAGGAGGATTTTATCATGCTAAAAAATGAATTAGATGACATTATTCTGTTAATAAGATTTTACAAAATTTCCTCTATTGACTTTTATGATAAAATCAAATCTTATAAAAAAATATTTAATAAAGAAATATATGAAGAACTTCTTCAATACCAGGTTACTGGTAGATGCCAACCAAGATTTATACTTCAAAAAGGTCCAAGATCAAAAACAGCAATAAGAACAGGACAATTATTAAATTCACAAACCAAATACTTAATTTCAAGTTGGATTGATTGCAAAAACAATCTATATAATGAAGATAACACCCCTTACAAATTTGAATTAATTTTTCAGGGCAGTCAAGATGGATTCACTAGATCTGCATTTGAAGATAAATGTTACAACATTAAAGAAACTGCAACAATTTTAAAAATAAAAAAAACAGGTGAATTGATAGGTGGATATAATCCTGTCGGTTGGAATAAAGAGGAAAAATCTTCAAATGATTCATATTATATTGAATCAGACAAAAGCTTTATTTTCAAAATTGGACAAAGTGACACAATATTAAGTAGAGTCCAAAACTCTCAAGAAGCATTTTATCACTACAGTGATGAAATGGCTGAATCAATTTTAAGTTTTGGTGATTTGTTTGTGGGTTATATTACAGAAAGTCATTACTATCATTATTTTTTTAATAATCGTTCTGTTTATATAAATAATTTGAACATTAGAGGTAGTGGTTTGTTGGATGAATTTGAAATTTACAAAATAATAAGGAAAAATTAATATTTTTTATTTTTTAAATAAATCTGTCTTCAAGAAAAAATTTTTTTAACTATAATTACATTTTTAGAATTTATCCAATTAATTCTAAAGTATAGTTGTTTGCCATAATTGCCTCTCTTAATAGATGATTGTCACTGTATCTGTAATGCCATAATTCTGCCATAGTTACCATAATTAATTTTGATAGTTGCCAAAATAATTTCCATAATTATTTGAATTTTTTAAATCAATAGCCATAATTCTGGGTGGTTTTTTTATTTAGATAATATAGAGAATAATGTTGCCATAATATATGGAAAATGCAAAAAAATTATGGCAAACAACTATGTTCCAAAGTAAAAATTAACTCTTCTAATTTTTCTTTTTTCTTGGTAGATTTCATAATTAATCTTTTTTTCCTTAGATAAGTTTCTAGTGTTTGAGTATCATTTATTTTGAAAATGTAAGGAGCAATTTTTTCACCTTGTTCCTTTTTTAGAATACTTCTGATAGTACTATAATTCTTGGGTTCCATAGTAGATCTGATGTAAATTAACTTCATATTAACTATTTTTATATAGGAGTAATTCTATATATCACTTAATATTAAACAAATGGGAAATTTTAATAATCACATTACAAATTTTGATCCCTGAAATTCTTGGTAATACCAATGTTCACTTTGTCTGGTTTTGTTGCAGTATGCCCCATATATTCATATTGCTTTTTATATTTAATTTTGATCTCTTAATTGACAATGGAACGCACTCAAAAATATCTTAATTTTCGTAATTTTTATAATACGCACTTCTTGACAAATAGAAATTTTTTTGAGCATGCGCTTAATCCCACACCTTCGCATTTATGGAACATAAATGATGTCATAGAACAAGAGCCTGCTGACAGTAATGAAATGAAAGAAGAGGTGGAAGAACATTATACGAAGGAAGAGAATGAATATCATCAAGATCAAGACGAATATTATCAAGCTGATGAACATTATCAAGAAGAGGATAAAATTGAGTTTGTATTGAGTGAAGAAGCAATTGCAATGTTTCGTTTTTCTGAGTTAAGGAGGTTAGATTGTAAGCATTGTAGAAATTAATGATATTCACAAGAACATAAATATATTAATATATTAATACATTAATTTCTTGATATTATTCGTAGTAGAAAATGCTACAAAATCTAACTCTGAAACTGCATCAACTTTGAATTATCTAGTTGCTGATGACGACTCATCACAAACTATATATTCAACTTCTGAACCAGACCCTTCTTTAATATCTACGATTAATACTTCCGACATAAGAAAATTATATGGTGATTCATCTAACACTATTTTAATTTTGGAAGGGATTGTCAATAACGATTTTGTTCAATCATTTCAAACCCATGATGACAATCACGAAGTTGTATATTGGCCTGTAATACCTCTCCGATTTACTTGAGAAAATTTTCAATTGTGTTGGTAAGTTATAAATCTCTTAAAGTCTATTAAAAATAAATATCCATAATGACGACTCATGCATCATCCTTGTTCTTTGAATAATCATATATTATTTTTTTTAACTTATGGTTATCATGATGACAACCTTTTTGGTGGCCAAAGATTTATAAACTGAATGGAAAAAAATCGCAAAAGAGAATAGATAGTCCTTGAATAACTAACACCAATGTTTTTATAAGCTAGGAGGGAAGAAGAAAAAAAAAGTCGATTTTCCAAAAAAAAAAAATAAAAAATAAAAAAAAATTATATTTAATTAAATAAATTTATCGATTTTGTTCTTATAAATGTATCTATATAAAAATATTGTCATGATAAAACTTCAAAGGCTTTATCAGGGTTCATCTTTAGGCACAATCATTTTCCTATATTGTCTAATATTGTCACCTTCAAATTTTCTGACTTTTCCTTTTTCACAAACCCAAATCTCTTGGCAAACTGAATCTATAAATCTTTCATCATCATCATCATCCAATTCATCTTCTAAATCGGAAGGAGAATTTCATCATTGGAGAAGGGTTTTTCTTTTGCGAATAATTCAAATAATTCCTGCTAAGAGTAAAAGTAAGCCCAGTCCACCTAGTCAAGCAGCAAGATTATTCATTCTTCAAAAGCTTTCTTTGGAAGTAGGAGTTAATTTTTGGGTTTCATTTTTAGCATAACTATGGTTAATTCCGCTGAGTTTTTTGAAATAGTATTTTTTAGTTCCTGCTTCAGTTGGACTAACTCCATCTCCATAAATGTTCCAATCTAAACTTTTAGTTTTATCTGCTGGATTTCGATCAGCTCTCATTTCAGTTTCAATTTCTTCTTTCTTAGCATTGTCAGTTTTGATGTGATAATCAGCAACTGCTCCAATTACATACTGCGGACTGAGAGTAAAGAAATAGTTTAATTTATCTTGTTCAGCAACATTATCCTCAGGAAAAGGAGGAATTCCTTTTTTATCTTTTAAATAATCTTTGAGATGAGTAAAGAAAGGCTCAAAATCATCCAAATCATTCACGATACTTCCAATCTTTTTTAGTTCTAATTCATCTTTTCTAAAGAGTTTTTGGTCTCCAAAATTCTTTCATTGTTCTACTAAAGAAGTAGTAATATCTGCATCAATCTTGAAAACTGAACGAAGATTTTCACTTCTTAATTCTGGATTAGTTAAGTAATTAGTAATCGCCAATAA